CAATAAGACTTTTAAATGACAAGGCACACAAGCAAAGAACCACTACGGAGCGACTAGATAGTTTTTTGCTCGATAGCAAAGTTCCTACCTGGAAGTAAAGTTTACTGTCGAACAGAGATTACCCAACCTTTCACAATTGCAAGCCATAAGTGGATTGTTAGATAATCTTTGGCTCGATAGAATAAATTCCCAAGGGGAAGCGAAGTTTGTTATCAAACTGAAGATTATCTAGCAATTCACTAGTGGAATCCTCGAAGGTGTAAAACTTCCAGTATTCAAATTCGCATTCTTCGCACTCGAACACTGGGGGGAATGATATGAGGATACGGCAACAACGAAGCCACTTCGACCGGAATATGAAATCCGGAAACATAGTTATATCATCGAGATCGAGGACTGCGCAGCTAGCCCCATAGAAACAAGTTGTCCAAGTTAACCACAAAAATGGCAATTTATTTTTAGTATAGCGAATGCTTATGTACTTTTGAAAATGGAAGGAATAAAGTAAAGTCATTTTGTTTTTATCTTGTTTCTTGTCTGAACGATGAATTGATTTTATCATTTGAAAGTTAAACAAGTACTTCAAATGCTAGTGTCGTAATGAACAGAAGACGTCCTCTTCAAGAGTACCATAAACATAAAAGGGCCCTCTCTTATGAAAACCCTCACGATAAAGGGTTGATTTCGAAAGGACTTGTGCCTGAAGTCCAAACGCTCTTGGGGGGGGGAATATACCTAAAACCTCGCACATAAAGATGCAAAGAGCAAACTTGCACAAATCCTTAATTGAAAGTACGCAGAAAACTTATACGATACTTGAATGAAAAAGTGTTTTTATTTACAAAGAATGTTCCAAACAGCACAAGTACAAAACTTTGAAAACGAAAACAAAAACTAAGCTACTGCATCTCCGGGACCTGGAGGAAGAGAAGGATTTGCGCCCCCATAAGAAGTGGACGGATCCGCCGCCGGCTCGTCATTTTAGCCTTCAGCATCATCACCTTCCACTTCTTCTTTAGTTCCTGAGAACTCAGAACCAGAACCAGAAGAATCAGTAGCATCGGGTCGGGTCGTAAGACCCCTCTTAGCATCTAACTCCAGCTCACGGGCCTTAGCGATTTCGGCATCAAAATCAATGACACCGTTTTAGCCTCTTCCAAGGTTTTTCTCCCCATGGTGAACATAGACTATGTTTTTTCAACAACGAGGGAAGCTGCTCCGCGATTGAGTTCTTCATTAAGTTGTTCAACCTCGGCAGAAAAATTTTCCCGCATGGATCTGGTACATCGGATTCTGACATCGAGCTCGTAGATAGTGGAACTATAGACCCTTTTGTGTTTGAGGGTCCTCTTATGCTTTCTCTCCAACCAGGCATACTTCGCCTCGGCAGCAGAAATTTCTTCAGCTTTGGAGGCTAAGGCTGCCTCCAAATTATTCAACCTTTCTGCAGTGGCAGCCTCGCGATCGGATGCAGCAAGAACGATAGTGTGGACCTCAACCCATTTGGCCCTAGTTTCTTCGAATTGTGCCCTTAATAGGGTGACCTCCTGGCTAAGATTCACCACCTCTTGCTCGCTTTGCTGCAACCGAGCCTCCAACTCAACAGCCTCGACAGCTCGAGCTTCCAGTTCGAGAGGCGAGCAGCTGTTTGGTCCCGCTCGGCCAATAATTGATCCCGCTCGGAGATAAGTTCTTCCTTATCACGAATCAGCCTTTGAAGGCCTCATAAGAAAGGAAGTTGGCTTGCAAAACATGAATTCAAATTCAAAATCATGCCATAACACAAATAGAAGAAACATCAGAGAAAACAAAGACTACACTACCGCTGCATTGTGCATAGCATTGTTCAACAAACACTTTCCCGAGAGAGTTTGTATTTTCTCCCAATATTTCTCTGAAGCCAAGGGCTTTAGGTAGTTAGCAAGCTCCACCGGCCGGGACACATATGACATCTGATGGAAACCGAGATGGTACACTCCTCCTCCTTTATGCATCTTTAGAGGGAGCAGCATAATTTCGCCCCAAGTTCCCGTGAACTGGGGACTGAGGAAGAGGGACGTTCTCTTCTCGGGGAACCACGGCCGGTGGAGATGATGTAGCAGCTGCTGGTGGCGAAAGAAGAGTGTGAAGAAGGAGATGAAGAAGATGGAATTGAAGGATAAGAAGTGGTTGTGGCAAGCGCAGTGCTGGTTGTTGGTTTCTCATCAACCGAAGATGGCAGGGACCCAATACTCAGGCTCATGGTATCGGGCACGACGACTGGGATTCAAAAGCGGGAGTTGGCATTTTCCATCATCTCATACTCCCCAGAGTGCCGAGGCATCGTCCTCGGTTGGTGTAACTAAATCAACAGATTGAGCAGTCTGTTGAGATGAGGAAGGTCATGGTCTACTATGTAGAGAAGCCCCCTCCTCAGTGGCTTCTCCATCATCGTCAATCATCACGGTGTCTATGGCTGGCTCGGGCGGGGGGCTCATCACCACTACTTCCGGAGACAACTCGGGAGCGGCACTCTTTGCCTTTTTATTTTTTTTCCCCATCCACGGAGGAATGCCTTATTTTTGGTTGCTTGTTCTCCGGTAGGGGACTCCAAGAAGAAGCACTTCCACCAGAAGCAAGCCTGGAAACACCTATCTGTGTAAAAGCCTCCTACAGCAGCCTCGCTGCATCAGCAGGATTAGCCAAAACGTCCTCCTCGGGGACAATAACTAAGCCCTGGGTAGACCTGAATTCAACAAGAAAGAAAGGTTAAACAACTTCCTTATACGAAAAGGTAAAAATAAGATGAGTTCGACTTACCATGATTTTTGGCCTTCCACCCATATTTAAGGGAGAGCTCTTTCCACATGCGGGTCTCGGGCGTAATAACATCCAAAATTTTATGGACCCACTGGTCCAAGCGATCAACCCTAGGTGGTACCCACCAAGTCGCTGAAATAAGTGAAAGAAGAAGGGTCAATAATGATATGAGACGATCTTTAATGGAAGAAAAGACAAATGGTGAATTACGAGTGTGGTTCCATAATTCCGGAAAGGATGAAGCCGTGGCCGAAATGATGTCATTGGTAGCGACTGCAACGAACCGTTCCATCCACCCACGGTCGTTATTATCATCCATGATGGATAGCAGAGCATGGTCGCCACGCTTGCTGAAATTCATCACCCCCCCGCCCCCC